GGAGGAAGGGAGGGAGGGAGAGAGGGAGACACAGAGAGAACGAGAGGACAGAGACAGAGAGTATATATCGGACTATGACTATGCTGGAAGAACTTCAACTCTGGATTTCATGTTCACAGAAGGCCAGTCATGAGTCTGTCTGCGCCCCCGACTGCAACTGCTGCTGTCGCCAGCACGACTGCCAGAATTCGGGAGGCCATGACTGGTAGAAGGGTTCCGATGCCTGTGCAGGGTCATGGCAGCGAAATCTTTCCGGACTTCACAAGAAAAGGCTGTCTCGGGCCTGCGCCGTTCGCTGTAATTGCTACAGAGTTTGAGCCAATGCCACGACCAGATTGGTTCAGCAGTCATGAGAATTCTTGATGGATTCGGTACGTCTCACTCTCCAGCTGTCCATCACTTGCTTGCACTTCTTTTTGAAACCATCCATCCTACCTAAGCATCCCAGCGCGACATTTCTCCGAGAGCTCAAGTGACATTGGGCTCTAGCTCACTCCCCAGCTTGATGTCGCTGAGCGGAGGGAACTTACGAATGGGGCCTGGGGCTCAAGGACAAGAAGCACTGGGAAAGCAGGCCTTGCACCACAGCAGACGCCTCGATACACTCCGCATAGATCGCGGAGAGGGTATACAGTGTCACCTGAGTCTTAGTTTGGTTAGAGACGTGTCAGAAAGCGCCTCTTTCGCTCTTTCAAGTCCGGTCACCAGGAAAATGGTGGCAAATCCCCACATGGGCAGAACCTGACCACGGACCACGGTAGTGTCTCCCAGTCAAGAAGACCAGAGCAGCCCCCATGCGCTGCAGACCCCAGCCTCGTTCATGCCGGCAATCCAAAGAATCCTTGGGCATGCGCTGCTGTGCGCTTGAAGGGACGGGAGCCCTGTTTTGTGCCAAGCAGCTCGAAGGCATTGAAGAGCGGCTGCTGGAATAAGAAGACCTGGTGAGATTAGAGGATCTTCTATTTTCTCAGAGAAGCTCTGTCATCCTCGGGCCTCGAAGCTGTACCTTCCGAGAACGGCCAAGGGCGCCATTCCGAGGGTGCAGGCCGAGATGCCTGGTTTCATGTTATTTTTTTATATTATATTATCTTATCTTATCATATATTCTATTTTTATAGTATAGTATAGTATAGTATAGTATAGTATAGAATAGTATAGTATAGTATATCCTCAGCCTCGATGTAACAAAGGCCCTTAAAAGACTTGCGGCCTGAGCCCTGGCTGGCAGCCGAGCCATAGAAGAAGAGCGCCCAGAGCGGGCCCAGGCTGTGGTTGTAGAGGGGCTCCCAGCCCTGCTTAGGGGTTTAGGGATTTGGGGTTT